ATTTGGTTTTAAATGTTGTCTCGGATTTGTAGGATTTTTATGTTGCCCTTTTTGAGCAGTTTCTATGTTGGTATGTTCCATTGTTTTTTTTTGTTGTCATGTTTTTCAACAGTTTTTCTATTGGCATAATCCTTTGCTGTTTTTATACCGCTATAACATTTAAACTCCATTCTTATGGGGGTTTTATGTTATAGCGTTCTCCTGGAGTTTTCATTTTGTCAAGTTCTTGTGCAGTTTCTAAGATGGTATGTTATTTTGCTGTTTTTAGATTGGCATGCTCTTCTGCAGTTTTTATGTTTTCATGTTCTACTGGAATTTTTCTGTTGTCATATTCTTGTGCAGTCATTAAGTTGGCATGTTCCTTTGCTGTTTTTATGTTGCCATGGTCTTGGGCAGTTTATACGTTGTCATGTTTTTATGTTCCTTTGCTGTTTATATGTTGTCATGTTCTTATTGGGGTTTTTATTTTGACATGTTCCTTTGCTGTTTATATGTTGTCATGTTCTTATTGGGTTTTTTGATTGTCATGTTCCTTTTCTGTTTATATTCTGTGCAGTTTTTAAGTTGGCATGTTCCTTTGCTGTTTTTATGTTGTCAGTTCTTGTGTAACATTTAAGTTGGAATGTTCTTGTGCAGTTTTCATGTTGCCATGTTCTTGTCTAGTTTTTAAGTTGTCATGTTCCTTTGCTGTTGTCATGTTCTTATTGGGTTTTTCGATTGTCATGTTCCTTTTCTGTTTATATGCTGTGCAGTTTTTAAGTTTGCATGTTCCTTTGCTGTTTTTATGTTGTCAGTTCTTGTGTAAAATTTAAGTTGGAATATTCTTGTGCAGTTTTCATGTTGGCATGTTCTTGTCTGTTTTTAAGTTGTCATGTTCCTTTGCTGCAGTTGTCATGTTGTCATGTTCTTATGGGGTTTTTATGTCTTTTCTAAAATGTTTTCCCATGTTCCACCCCTGATTGTAAACAGTAAAAATTCTCTAGTTTTACAAGTAATGATGCCGGAGATACTAGCTTGGAGATCTTTACGTTAGATAACAGGACTCGAGACAATTCACTAAATTTGTAGCTTGGAACTTAATGAGCAAAAATCTTGTCCAACACGACAATTAACAGTTGTCGGAGATAAGAAGAAACAAGCTTCGAGTTTTTGTCAACCCCCCCCCCACACTTCTCCGGTTTTTACACCTCCCCGTACCAACGTGAATTTTTGGTGGATTTTATACCAGTTTTTGCGCATTTTCGTTCAATGTAAACTTGTATATGGTTTATTGACATTTTCATTCATTCCTTCATTCATTCTTCATTCATTATTTTTATCCTTTTATTGGTTAGAAATNGTTATCCAACGTCCAGTACCTCTCACTGAAAATAATTTTTGGAATTTAAGATAAGAATTTAAAAAATTGTCTTCATTAAACTGAAAAATATTAGATTGTTCTGAGGTTGGATTTATTGACTAACAAGAGTTATTTTAACTACTTTCCTATTTTGCCTAAAGTGCGCTAGAAAGTAGTTTAATTAGCCAAAGTTAGTTCTACTACATCTTGTTTTCCCCTTAGAATACAGTTGAGATATTCTTAATTTTTGTTATTTGATTATTTTCTCTGCAGCTTGCAAGTAAATGCAAATCTTCTGTTTCTCACACACCTGGTACTTTACCCACTACTAACTTACATGTCACAATACACAAAACTAATCCCTCCAGATACCCCCCCCCCTTGAACCCTCCTCCACCTATACTCCCCAGGTTTGATACAATTACTCCAAGCCCTGTAATTTCCCCCGACCGACATTGAATAAAAAATTATGAAAATTGTATGAATGTATTCATCCTCATGGCCGGTTGTATTCAAATTTTCTAATGTTTGAATATTCATCCAAGGGGATGAGTGAGGAATGAACAATGGGTTCTTGTCATCTGCGTTTACAGTGTGTCCCACTAAACATCATAATTCAGAGACAACTTAAAATGGAATGATGCCTACTTGGAAGCTCTGATCCGGTTCATCCAGCCGTAGATGTTTCGTCTCTGTAGATGTTTCTGCTATAATCAAGAATGTGTTTGTTTATGTTTTGATTGCATATTCAAACATAGGATCTACAATTGTTACTCGGATCACTGTTTATCTTGTAGAAATATTGCAGACACATCATACAACGTTTTTGAATTACCGTTTACATAACATATAGACGTAACTTTATTAGACCATTGAACTTAGGCAATACAACGCTAATTATTAACAAAGACGATTTATTATCTATCACTTAATTACCATGTTTATTTGGACACCCTGTATGAAATATTTGGATACCCTGTGTGAAAGATTTGGACACCCTGTATGACAGATTTGGACACCCTGTATAAAATATTTGGACACTCTGTATGAAAGATTTGGTCACATTTATTCTTTAACTAAAGTCTGAAAACAGACAATACGCAAATATAATGATAATTTTGTCAATTACTTGTTAAAAGGTAAAACTTAAACAAGAACTTTATAGTTATACAGTACAGATGTCTAGGGATAGAAAAAAAAGTGAGTTAGTGAGGTTAAATCAGAAGTCAAGGTGTTTTAAAGAAACTATAATGGTACGATTTTGATGTACATACAGATTTTGATGTACATACAGATTTTGATGTAAATACAGATTTTGATGTACATACAGATTTTGATGTACATACAGATTTTGATGTACATACAGATTTTGATGTACATACAGCTGAAAACAATTCGAAGAATCACTGAATAGTTTAACAGACCATGTTATGATACATGGAAAAAAGATCAGGAAAAAAATAGCTGTTTTATAATTTTTGCTGTCTTAAACTCTACAAAACTATATTAATATTTTTACTAAAAAGCATTCATCATGAAAATGATTCTATTGCTTCCAATTATTCTGGTTTTAAGAAAAAGACAAATTTATCTCATTTCATCAAATATATTTAACAACACTAAATTCTGAATTATTGCAACATTTTAAAATTATTTCTAAGAATTATCTTTATATATTCTTTATAGATGTTTAATGGATCTATTGATCTTAGCTGGGTCTGGGAGGGAGGTTGCAACTATTATCTGCTGGGAGGGAGGTTGCAACTATTATCTGCTGGGAGGGAGGTTGCAACTATTATCTGCTGGGAGGGAGGTTGCAACTATTATCTGCTGGGAGGGAGGTTGCAACTATTATCTGCTGGGAGGCAGGTTGCAACTATTATCTGGCAAAAAAATTAAGTCTCTGTTTCTCTTGTAAAAATTTTCATTTAATTTTATATTTTGAATTTTATCTGAGTTTACATTATTCTATGTATGAAACTATATCATTCATGCTAAATTTATGGTAAATTTTATTATAGACGTGCCATAAAGTTATCATCGTGTTATAATGTTAATTTAGCTGTATAATATAACACTGTGCAATAAAGTTATTAATGGTTATCGGATTTTCTTCAAAAATGTTGAGTATTTCTTGAGTAATTTTTGTATATAAAAATAAAATTGAAATGAACTCTTTTCTTTTATTTCTGCTTTGTTTAAATCTTATCATGTCTAGAAATAACCATTGCATTAAGACAAGTATATAAAAATTCAGAATATTACCTTTAACAATTTTATTTTGACACGACGATTTTGGACCTACATTTTTTCTTTATCTATGATAATATTTTGTCCTAAGCTTTATAGCACTGCGAACCAAAATAATGGTGTTGTAAATAGTTATTATCAACTTAGGATACAAAACTACATAAGTAAGAATACAGATGTACACTTATTCATTTTTATTTACTAACAAATGTGCGTTTCTTCTGCTTCTCCAATCTATATATTGCCTCCTCCCTGCTGGAAAATGGCGTAAATCTGAAGTTCTTCAACCTGTATATTAAAGTTGCCACCTCCCTGCTGTAAAAATGGCATAAAACTGAAGCCCTCCAACCTGTAAAAAAAAGTTGCCACCTCCTTGCTGGAAAAATTATGTAATTCTGAAGTTCTCCAGCCTGTATATTAAAGTTGCCACCTCCCTGCTAGAAAAATGGCATAAATCTGAAGCTCTCCAACCGTCCCACCATTGTCCTCCGCGATATTCAACTGTTTAATGATCACAGCGGGGAGTCCTGGTGAACAGATAGACAGATAGAAAGACAGACTAATATACAGACATACAGATAGAAAGCAAAATAAACAGATATACATACATATGTATAGACAGATAAACAGATAGACAGAAAGAAAGATAGAAAAAGTTGGTAGAAAGACAAATATACAAATACGGATAAACAAAGATAAACAGAGGTATAGAGAAATAAATATATAGGCGGGAAATAAAATAATTTGAAACATTAAAAATTTATATATTGTACTTTTAATGATTTTGCTTCTTTTTTGTTTACTTTTTGCGCTAGTTCTACCCACCTCACCTACTTTCCCATTCCCCTCCCTACCTACCCTCCCCCTCCTGGAGAACTTACCTTTTCCAGGCTGAAATCAGTGTGACTTACCACTGTGCATTCCAAGTGTGATTGAAACCTAGGTTGAAAACCTGTTCCGAGAATTCCTGATCTCATTCCAACCAAACATTCACAAACTTAATTCACCATGAATTCTTTACACTCAAACCATCCTTACTCAAGCCACACTCTTGCATACTCAACTCATCCTCTTCCTTACTCAACCCAACCTCTTTCTTACTCAACCCATCCTCTTCCTTACTCAAACCATCCTTACTCAAGCCACCCTCGTACATACTCAACCCATCCTCTTCCTTACTCAACCCATCCTCTTCCTTACTCAACCCATCCTCTTACTTACTCAACCCATCCTCTTCCTTACTCAACCCATCCTATTCCTTACTCAACCCATTCTCTTCCTTACTCAACCCATCCTCTTCCTTACTCAACCCATCCTCTTCCTTACTCAACCCATCCTATTCTTTACTCAACCCATCGTCTCTATTTCTCTTTGTTCTGATTTCTCTCCACCAGCCTTTAGATAAAAGATAAATATTTTCTAATTTATTTTGATCAAGTTTGTTGTATTCACCAAGACTGTGCATTAAAAAAAGAAAAGGTGAGATCTATAAATAGGAGCAAGTACAAAATACTAGGTATAACAGGTACCTAGAGCTAGCATAGGTTTACTCAGAACTTTCTAGGTTTGCCAGGGTCCTTTTTTTAAAATAGAGTTCCAGTTAGCTAGAGCTAACATTGATCTGAAAGGTACCCGGAGAAAACCTAGTTTAGCAGGTTCCTAAAACTAATAGGTGTGCATACATACATTGCTTACTTAAAGGGGTTGTTCACTTATTTAAACAAACACATAATATCCCAATTTTTGGAGTAAGGAACACAAAATATTCAACCTATCTTAGCGCTGAAAAATATCTCAGAGTTATCGATATTATCGCTATCATAATCTTTGGACTTTGTCAGAAAATCTGGGGTTCATGGAAATTTCGTGGATTTCTAAAATATACTTTTGCGTACGTTAAACTGTCCCATATGATATGAAAGCAAAGTAAGCCTAAATTTTTAAAAAGATTCTTTATTTTATCGTTATCAAAAATAACTTGAAAATAATTATACAATCCACGAAATTAGAATAAAGAGATAAATTCCAAAATACAAAAGTTGGAGCATATGTGTATTTTTGAATAGGTAAAAAATCCGTTAAAGTTATTTATTGATTGATTACAAGAACCACATTTTACATAATAAGATTTATTTAGGCAAGGTGGTGGTGGGAGGTAGCATAGTTTAATGTCGTCACTGAAACTCCTATGCTTGTTCAATATATCACTGTGGTTTAAATATTGCTTGCAAGCAATTTATCACTTAATATTTGTATTGCCATTCCTTGTTTATTGCTATAGTTTCAAATAAATTAATCACCTATTTATAAATAAAGCGATTCCAGGTCTCATGAAAGAGCAAAAGGCAAGAATATAATTCAGGATTTAAGGCCAGGGCACTTTATACCAGTGTACCAAGAGAATTCTGGTTTCTAGGATCGGAGTTCAGGGTGCAGGTAGGATAACACCAGACATAAGGTTTAAGAAAATCTCTGGATTACATGTTTTGAGTTTTTCCGACCTTCCACTTCAATTTATCTATATCTCAGAATCACAGAATATATTCCATAGTTTCAGGACATATTTCTCAGGTTTTATGTTTGTCGCCAGGTTTGATAGTCTCTGATCTCCTTCGCTGAGAGATTTCTCTGAATCTACAAGTATTAATTGACTGTTAAATTTACCGGTTTCGTAAAAAGAAGAAAATTACTTCTTCTCTGGTTCTTCAGGTTCTGGTTCAGAATATATCTCCAGTTAGAGAACCCTAACCAGGATCAGGTTACGGTTCAGGATATATCTCTCGTATGAAACCCAGAACCAAGATCAGGGTTTGGTTCAGACCTCATCTCCAGTATATACAAACCAGAACCAGGATCAGGTTCGGTTTCAGGATACATCTCCGGTAACCAGGATAAGATTCAGGATACATCTCCGGTATGAGCACCAGCACTCGGATCATGTTCAGGTTCAGGATTTATCTCCGGTATAAGAACCAGCACCAGGTTCAGGTTCAGGATATAACTACAATATAAAAATCAGAACCGGGATCAGGTTCTGGTTTAATACCCTTGGTTTCCAATAATCCCTCCGATACTATGATGATTTTCAAATTTGACAGAACTATGATGTCCCGGAGACGTATGGTCGGAGGGCGGAGTCGGCAAGGACTGGGCGTGGCAGTACCACTCCTGTCCCTGTACTTGATGAGAGGGCGGGACGGGGGTGTGTCCCGGGATGGAAGAGGAGGGGGAGGATGCCTCATCATCACTATCCTCACTATCATACTGACTCACAGCATCCTTCCCGTGTACCTTCATGTGTTTACGGAGAGAGGACGGATGGGTGTAGGATTTATCGCAACCTCGAACCTTGCAGTTGTAAGGTTTATCGCTCGTGTGAACATGCGAGTGCTTTTTTCTATCACTCGAGTTTGCAAACCTTCGATCACATCCGTCGAACTCGCACTCAAACGGTTTCTCACCTGAAAATAAACAAGATTAAACTTTCGGTATCGTACAATTATTAAATTTATGAATATTGTACTTTATCAATTGCATATCAATGATTGATAAATGAAACTGATCTATTCACGATAATTGCTAACACTGATCATTTTATGGTCAAGATACATTCCTAAATCTGATCAAACCATGTGCTTGTACTGATTATTTTATGATCATTGACAAAACTGATCAATTCATGATCATCTTTAATCTGATTATCATAAGCAATGTTCAATGTTCATACTGATCATATTTTCATCACTACAACCCCTGATCAATATTTTATTCGATTAACTTTAATCCTGATCGATGTATATTTGCTTAATGATCTTTAGATATCTCAATGATTTTACGTCAATGAGACTGCCAGCAATATTCACAGGGTTGAATTCTGAAATAGTTTTATCTAAACTGGTTCTGCTTGAATGTACAAGGTGTTTAATAAAAACTATTTTATTCGTTCAAATTTTGAAATCCTAATCAGAAAAAGAATTTCCGTAATATCCCTGGTAATAGATGGGCTGGTTGTTGGAATGTTTTGTGTGAAACTGCACCTTAGTATAAAAAGAGACTTGAACGCCTTCAAATATAAAGAGATTTGAAAGGGTTAAATGATGATACAGGAGACCAGATACTCTAGATCAGGTTTCAAAAAGGGTTCAGGTCCAAATAATGAAACTTAATAAAACTAGTAACTTCTTTGAGCTACTAGTATCATTTCTCACAAACGCATAGATAACCAAGAATGAGTATTTTTAGTTCTTTAATGTTTTTTCCAAACCAAACCAAACCAAACCAAACCAAACCAAACCAAACCAAACCTCTTCATAAAAAAGAACATCAAATCAAACGACCTTTAAAAAAATCCTCAAAACCAAACCTTTTTAGAAAACTAAATTTGTACAAACTAACTCATTTTAGAAACCAAATGCCTAAAACCAAACCTTTATAAGTCAATTCTACAAAGTCAAACCTGTTTAGAAAACCAAATGCACCAAACTAAACCTTTTTCGAAAACCAAATGCCTAAAACCAAACCTTTTAAGAAACCAAATGACCAAAGCCAAACCTTCTAAGAAATCAAATACACCGAACCAATCCTTTTTCGGAAACCAAATGCCCCAAACCAAACTATAAAAGTTTGACCAACCCAATTGCACGTGTTCGCTGTCAAGGCCAATTAAGCTTACTATTGCAAAATTATAAACGAAAATTAATAAATTTAAAAAAAATATATTTAGAGATTTCAGAGACTTCATAAACTTTCAACGTAAGATTAAGGACCTTAAAAACAATATTTTTGGATCACCGACGATTTGCAGGTCCTACGAATGTCCATTTTATTACTCTAAGTCCAGGCAGATTATTAAACTAAGGTTCAGGAATTTACCAGGATTAATGTTTCAAGTGCATTTGATTAAACTCAACACAGTTGAAGAAATAGAACATTTTTAAGATGAAAGTTTTGAAATCAGCATTTAAAAAATAATTTCAAAGACATAAAATCATTTCTTTTCTTTTTTCACATTTAAAATCCAATCTTTACATTATCTACACTCTGTACAGTTAACCCCTCTATTCAAAATCAATTTTTCATGGGGGGGATCTAACTATTTTTCTATCTATCTATCTATCTATCTATCTATCTATCTATCTATCTATCTATCTATCTATCTATCTATCTATCTATCTATCTATCTATCTATTTATATATCTATCTATTAATCTGTGTTGCATGTTTACAGCTTGGCAGAGAAGTTGAGTCTTTGTTTAGTTTATCATTCAATCCTTCAGTTTTCAATTTATCCAAATATTATAATTATTTTCAGAGTTAATTTAATGTTAAATATGATTAAATATTAGTTTTTTGTTAAATTTGAATACCTCTTTAACCTTAGAAACTATTTACATGGCGGATTTTGTAGTGAATGCCACGCATTCTTCTTGAACTAAATGTGGCGCAAGCGCAAAAATTGCACAAAATGCCGCGTGAAATTGTCATGTATTTAAAAGAGTGGGAGGATGTAAGCAAGATTTACTATGTGACAAGGTGCCAGAACTCTGCACTCCGTCAACCATGAATGAAAATTTACAAATTTGAATCCGTTGAACCGTTCAAGACTGGGAAAAGTTATTTTTTGACTTTTTTACGATCGAATGTGTGTGTTCCGGAAACCAGGCCAATTTCCGAACTGTTGAACACGAGACATAGGGACTGTCAAAACAATCACATGTTTAGGGACCCCAGGGGGCCGTAGGGGGTGTCTTTCACCCTGCTCATGACCTCAGGGGGTCCCTAGGGACCACAGGGGGTTCCGGTCATTCTTGGCGTGTGTTGTTAAACTCATTTTTAAAGATTTGTCACCTCCCCCCCCCGCCCAGACCCTTCTCCTACCGTACCCACCATCTGCGATAAAATAACACAAATCTGTCAAGGGGGTTAACAGGATGACTGATTAATAGATTTTGACAGACAAGAGCCAAGATAACAAAACTTTGATAAATATGAAGCATTGGATGAAACCCCGATTACAAAGGTAGGATGATAAAAAAGGGGTGAAAGGGATGTGATAATAAGTGATAGGGTTGGACGAAATTGGATACCAAATATTAAGGATGGGATGAGAATGAAGGTATAAGAAGGATGGGATGAGAATGAAAATATAAGAGGAATAGGATGAGAATGAAGGTATGAGAGAAATGGGATACAGAATGAAGGTATGAGAGGAATAGGATGAGAATTAAGGTGTGTGAGGAATGGGATGCAGTCTGCAGAATGAAGGTATGAGAGGAATGGGATGCATCGAATGAAGGTATGAGAGGAATGGGATGCAGAATGAAGGTATGAGAGGAATGGGATGCAGAATGAAGGTATGAGAGGAATGGGATGCAGAATGAAGGTATGAGAGGAATGGAATGCAGAATGAAGGTATGAGAGGGATTGAGAAGAATGAGATAGAATGGATCGTGTTCTATCCACAATATTGACAGAGTTAGACATTTTCCATATTTAATACTTATCCATATTTTACCCCCCCCCCCTTCATACCCCCTGCCCCCTCCCCTCTCCTGTCTGTTTAGTTCATCATTTATTCATCAATTGTCTAATCAATAACTGCTTTAATTTGAGGCTTCAATGCACCAAGAGCAAAAAGAAGATAGGTTTCGATGCACCAAGAGCAAAAAGAATATAGACTTCAATGCATCAAGAGCAGAAAGAAGATAGGCTACAATGCACCAAGAGCAGAAAGAAGATAGGCTTCAATGCATCAAGAGCAGAAAGAAGATAGGCTTCAATGCACCAAGAGCAGAAAGAAGATAGGCTTCAATGCACCAAGAGCAGAAAGAAGATAGGCTTCAATACATCAAGAGCAGAAAGAAGATAGGCTTCAATGCACCAAAAGCAGAAAGAAGATAGGCTTCAATGCACCAAGAGCAGAAAGAAGATAGGCTTCAATGCACCAAGAGCAAAAGGAAGAAAGGCTTCAATGCACCAAGAGCAAAAAGAAGATAGGCTTCAATGCACCAAGAGCAGAAAGAATATAGACTTCAATGCATCAAGAGCAAAAAGAAGACAGGTTTCAATGCACCAAGAGCAAAAAGAAGACAGGTTTCAATGCACCAAGAGCAGGAAGAATAATGATGAAGGAAAATTTTTATAAAAATGCACGCAGGGATATATACATTCTTGAAAAATAACGCCCCCCCCCCTTCTTGAAAATCATATCCCTAGACTAGATGTTGGGTATGTACTTGTATGTATGTATTCTTAAAAATATATCCTCCCTAGATAAATGTATAAATATATGTAAAAATGTATTACATATATATAGGTGAATACAATAGTAAATGTTTAAAACAAATGTAATGAATTGAATACATATATCTGTATATATTTAGACATTTTTTATACCTAATATATTTGTATGATGTGTCAATGAATATATCTGAATGTATTTAAACATGTTTAATTCCTAATATATTTGTATGATTTGTCAATGAATATATCTGAATATATTTAAACATGTTTAATTCCTAATATATTTAGATATGTTTGATACCTAATATATTTGTATGATTTGTCAATGGATATATATGAATATTTTTAGACGTTTTGATACCTAATATATTTGTATGATTTGTCAATGAATATATCTGAATATATTTAGTTTAAGCATGAATCTCCATGTATGGTTAGATTAATGAAACTATGTGTATACCATTAATCTCAGACCATCAACAATATACTCCGTGTATAAACTATCATCTATTCACTATCTGCTAAATATTATCAAATATCGAGTAAACTATTCATCAATCTACTCTTCTAATTAATCCTTAGTGTTTAATGATGCATCTTTTTGTGTTGGTTAATCAATAATTTATCAGTGTAACAAAAAACATCCCATCTATGTATATGTATAAAATAAAGTATTGTTATCCAAAGTTTGGACAGAATCCTACCTTTAAAAATCTTAAATTGAGCTAGACCCCGATTTATTAGGAAATTATGCTGTTTTCTAAAAATGAAAACTTTTATCTGAAGTCTTGTTAGTCAAAATAAACATTTTTTTCAATTTGTTTTAAATTACTTTCATAGCTTTATATTTAAACAATATTTCTGGCATCAATAGTTAGCTCAGACCCATCTGAGTTAAGGTCATCTTTTGAACTAAGTCCTACTCCTAACAACCCCTTGTAAAAATGCAAAAAATGAAAACCATTTTATTACAACCAAGCACACAACAGCTTGCACTTTCTGACGCAAAATTGCATTAAAGACATACGCCATGTTGCGTAAGGTCAGTGCCACACCCCCCGTCGAGTGTCCGCCCCCCCCACTGTGTGTCCGCCCCCCTGCAGAGACACCAAGCTCTCTCCGCCTTGCAGGACTAGATATTCTCCGCCCTCTCTCAAAAATACTCGAAAAAAATAAGATAAAATTTGTGTACCTTTTCTTTCTTCCTTTAACTAAAACC